TGTTTTCTAACCTTAGTGTTTTGAATATCTGTGTGTCCCGTCAGGAGGCAGATCTGGACGACAGGCTGGGCACAGACGGAGAATGTGACGGTGACTCCAAAGCAGACACTCCAGATGTCCCTCTCTCCACAGCGGACACAGATAACACTCCACAATACCTGAACAAAGCTCTGGAGGGCCTGCCGCCCAGGTACACACTGCTCATACACTGTTAATCACAAGAGACGGGGGCCAGCAGTTGTTTTTTCCTCATATGCATCATGGATGGGGACCTATGATTAACAGTTAGCCTTACTAGTCCATGTCTATGTTTTCTGAGACACATTTAGCTTAATGGGCTTTTCCCGATTATAACGAGCCAGTAAAACACATCAACGGTAACTCATCATGGGAGCCCAAAATAAATCAGGGTTAATGTTTATATTAAGGATCATTCTTTATTGGAATAGCAAATCAAGTCATTCAATTCGACTTACTTACTTACTAAATCAAGAACAGGACATTTCAAATCAAATCTTATTTATCTCTGATTTCTTAGATTAGATAGAAGTAGGCCAACAAAAAGTAGGTCAACAAAAATGAAAAACCAGTTCTAAAATGTTTCCTATGTCTTACTGATTGGATATACCTCGAACCAATTAAGACTGAGGTCAGGTTAAGATGTAAAACAGCTATATTATTGCTGTCCCACACAGTTTTCCCTCCACCTTTCATGAAATGACCCAGAGTGATTGATCATCTCTCGCCTGTGCATGTAGGTTAATTGGAGTAGATTCCTTCAGAGATGTATGAACCAGGGTTTCCGCTAGGATTTTTTCTCGCCGGTCAAATGTCCGGACAGAATTTATTTTACCGGACAACTTTGACATGTTTCAATAATAATAATAATAAGAGTTGTGTAGCAGAGTTTCCGTTGGCAGGTAATTACCGGACTATGACCGGATATGCTGATGTTTAAAATAGGGCTGTCAAACGATTAGAATTTTACCTATCAATCATCAAACCGTGGGGTCTTATTTCATTACGTGTTGATTTTTATCAACACTTAATGTTGTATCGATGTATATAGAGATGTACTACAGCAAAAGTATTCTCTGTCGGGACTTCCTGCAACAACACCACGCCGTTATCTTGATTCTGATTGGCCAGAAGACATTATCAAAGATGTTCTATTGAGAAGACGATCACTACGTGACAAAAGTTTTCAAAACCGTTTCTAGTCTTCGGTATTTCCAGACAAGTGGCTACTGAAATCAATCTTACTGCTGTCAGTGCAATTTACTCGGCGCGAGTTGGCGGACTTTATTTTGCTTACTTTAACATCATTTTTCATGGTGGGGCTAAGCCATTTCTTGGTATGGGTGTAGCCTACCCCAGCCATACCC